TACTTTTTTCCCTTTTTTAATTCAAGGTGGCTTTGTTTTTTTTTTTTTTGTTTTTTTTGTTTTTTTTTAATTTCTATGTTTTCACTAAATTCTTCATTGTAAATGTTGAATAAATTTTTAGCCATCCTGTGAACCTTTGATTTGGGAAAATACTAACAAATTGATTTCTTTATATTTCATGTTAATATTTCCTGTTCTTAATACTCTTTGATTTTTTATTTGTATATTGAATGGAATTTGGATGTATTAATGTGCCATGAGAATTAGGTTTTAACTAGAAATAATTAATGCTTTATTTATTGTTAGGTGGACTAGTTGTGGGGGGTTAGAGTTGAAACTATATTATCCTTATTGTTATATAAAGAAAATAGATAACCAAATGAAATTAACCTCAAATCCTCAATTCAGAATTTATAGGTAAAATATAATGAAACTCAACCTTAATGCTTTTGTTAATTGCATTAAAGTTATTCGCTTTGTGTTCTTGAATTAAAAGAAAATCCATACAAAAAGATATAATTATTTTTTTTAATTATTGTTTTCCTCAACCTATTTAAATCCAAATCTTCCTTTGTGGTTTCTATTATAAATTGCAAATTGATTTCTAATATGTCCAATTATTACTGTTTTACTATAACTTACAAAGTAGTCGTCTAAACAAGTAGTTAGTAGTAACAATGTAAGTTTTTTATTTGTTATTGACTTTTACTAATAATTGTGTGATTTGGAGTTTTGAGGTGTAATATTGAGAAATTCTGAGAATTAAGAAACTCTTGAGAAATTTTTAGGTATTTTAGAGAGTTTCTTTTAACAGAGGTTCAATTTAACTATATGAGAAGGAGCATATAAAGTTTTTTTTGCGAATTGAATTTCATAAGTTCATTCTCAGGATGCTTAGAGAGATAAACTAAAGAGAAGGATTCTAAAGTTCTGATTATTCTTTTCTTCTTTCTAGACTACTCGAGGCTGTAGAAGATCCTTGTTTATCTATGGTGTTGTAATATAAAATTGTTGAAGTGGAGGATTCGAGTTGGAGAGGAGTTGTCTTAGAGTATTCTTCTTCTTCTTTATCTTCTTTCTCCTTCCTCTCTTCTTGCTGGAAGTTGAGGTAAGAGAAACTAGAACTAAATCTTTGTTGATGGTTGATGTTGTGTTGTTAGATTGCACCTAAATTTGTGGTTATGTTGATGAATGTGGAGTGGAATTTATGCTTTGGTGAATTTAGAGTTGGTGAAGAATGTATGAGGTAGACTTAGATGATCTTAATCAATTATGGTTGCAAGTGGTTATTTGGGTTGGATTTAAGTTATACATGATGTATATACGTGGGATGTTGCAATGCATGCTTGGTTTTATTGGTTTTCAGGTGAAAGAAGAGCAATTCGTGAGTCTACAAATGCAGAGCTCACCGTCAAATCAGGCACGCCTTCATGGTGTCGAGCATGGTTTAATTAGGAATACTTTGTCTTACTCATGTGAGGCACATGATTAGTGGCACAGAGCGTGAGGAGAAAGAATTGTCTTGGGTTGAATTGGCACCGGGTGTGGTTTGAATAGCGTTGGGCATAAGGTGAGAGAATTAGTTTTGCCTAGATTGGCGTCGAATACCAAAGGAGTGGCGTCAGACATGAGGAGAGAGAATCACTTTAGGTTGGCATGCATAAGGTCAAACATGGGACTTTGCCATGCATGCTATGCATGAGGGCTTTGGGGGTCTCAACCTAATCCACGTCAGGCGTGGGTCGAATGGCGTCGGACGTGGACGTGGCAAAGAACTCTCTGTCTCAATGACGCTAGGCACAGGTTGGATAACATTGAGTAGGGATTACGTTACTTGAATGTTTCTTATATGATTGTTTGGTGAACATGTATATGATTGGTGAATCTATTGCATGTTGTAAATTGATTGGTGATTTAGAGGTATGTATATTGATCTAAGATGTTATATATAGATGGTTGTATGGTTGAAATTGTTGAGATGCATTGGTATGCTATAAATTTATGAATGTTGTTAGATATATATCTATTAATATGAGGTAATGAATATAAATGAATGTTGTTGAGGTGAATGCTGAGAATGCTTTAGGCATTTAAGCATGGTGTATTGACCTATTAAGGTGTTGGTACTGGAAATATTATAGGCATTAAAACATGTTGATTGACTTTGAATTAGAGGAAAAGATGTTTTTGAAAGTTAAATATCCCATTGTGTGATAATGGTGTGGTGCTCAGGGAGGCCAGTTGTTGAAAATCTTCTTTGTGCATGCGATAACTCTAAGAGTGGATTGTTGAGTCTCCTTTGGGTCCTTAGTCGATGTTGGAGTAAGGTATGAAGTCGAGGACTATCACCCTTACTTGATTACTAGAGAAGTGCATGGTATCGTGGGGATAATTAGCGGGTTAATCCTGCAAGTGACTTGGTTAATGTAGGTCCATACCTAATCTATCTGACAATGATATTGGATTTTCCTAGTCTAAGTGGCAACATTCAAGAAATCAGATGATAGGAATTGATATCCCAATTTGGTTGTCAATCTAGCAGGTGTGTAAGGTGTGAAAATGATCGAGTTGGTTCGATAGGATCAAACCAGTTAAATTGCTCAAGTGTTGTAGGAGATCTCCGTAAATGAATGCTTGACAACACATTAGTTAAGGTATATGCATATGATATGTTGTGATTGATGTTCATATGTGTTGGTGCTTATATGGTTGTATGGCATTGTTGTGGTGTAAGTTTGATTGCTTGTTGAGTTATTGCTTTTCAAACTTGTTGATGCCGTGTTGATAGTTGTATGATGTGAGCCATGAGGTGCATGTTGAGTGGTTCACATGTTATTGTTGGTAGTATATTGTATTTCATATATACTTGTTATATATTGGTCTTTTTAAAATCTAGTTTACTCGTGCGTGTTTTCTTGGTGATCGGACTATAATGATCATGTTTACATGAGAGTAGGACAAGGTTGGTTGGAGGTAGGTCGGAGTTCTTGGTGAGCCACGATTGATGGTAGTGTAGCCCTTGGCTACTTTTGTAGATTTTGTTGTAGTTGTTTGACCTACACTAGGGTTATATATAATAGTTTTGGAGTATTGTATATACATATCTATCTATATAGTTTTTTAGTTGTTTTTGCAAAACCTTATTCTAGATATATGTATATAGTTTGTTATGATGTCATCCAGAATCTATAATTATGTGAACTTTAGGTAGAGTTGTGCTTTCTATTGCTAATAGATGATTTTGTTAAGTGTAGAAATCATGATAAGTTGTTACATTAGTTTGAGTAATATTGAACTTGATCCCCTTAAGTAAAATCTTGATTTTGAGTCTTTTATATATATATATATATATAAACATTGTTGAGAAGGAAAAGGTGAGCTAAATTCTCTAACAAAAAATTAATGATAAAAAAATTGATGAATATCATATTAATAATATTATCGAGAAAAGAATTCATCCCAAACTCGCCAAATCAAACAATCAAAGTCACCTTACTCATATTGGTCATACAAAATGCTCCAAAATATTTAGTAGTTATAGAAATTATATTGTGTTTAATTTACCTATGCATGCACTTTCGTACGAGGGTGGTGTCTCACTCATACTTGGCCATGTATAAAAGATATCGCGTATATTACTAGGAAGATTTTATTTTGATATATTGTTAATGTACTTGAATTACATACATATTGACTAGGGTGTTAATGTCTTTACATGTACCTCTATATGTTTTGCTTGCACGTTGGATCAAACCAACTTCCTTATCCCCTTCATTAGAAGCAATTCAATCTCACGTGTCTTTGGATAAAGAAGCTCGCTTTAGATCCAGAGGTGAAAGGATAATGAGAATGTGGTTTATTTATATGCTTAATTAACACAAAAAAGATATCAATATGTTTTGTTTTACGAAAGAAAATAAAAAAATAAAATAAATATTAAAATTTATTATTTCTTTGAGGGGACAAACAAAAAGGAAATAAGTTTTTTTTTATGAATCTCGGGCCCCTTGAAATAGGGGTAGTTCTTTTTCTCTTTTCTTAGTTATTATATCAGTAAAATAAACTCAGAGAAAACTTTTTTTCTTAGTTTTGGTTGAAAACTAAATAATTTTTTTATAACTAATGAATAAAAAAAATCATATTAAAAATAACAGAACAAAAGTTTAAACATTTATTGCTTAAACATTTCTTTTAATTAGTATATATTTTGTACATTTTATTTTATTTATTTATATTATTCACTACAAATAAACAAAAAAAAATTATTTTATTATTCTTACTAATCGATCTAAATAACATTTTTTAATCTATTTCTCTCTTTTTTTCTTCTTTGTTTCATTTCTTTTCCAAAACAATGTGGGAAAATGAATTTTTCACATCATGTGTCTATCACTTAGTGTCATTGTCAATAGGGTCTCTAACATTCGGACTGAAGTGAACTCATGTCCCCTATAGGTATGGCAAATAAACCCGTACCCGTGGGTAATACCCGAACCCGTCTCGACTTTGACGGGGAATACCCGCTTTGACCGGGTACGGGTACGGGTACGGGTACGGGTAAAACCGATAAAAGAAATCGGGTACGGGTACGGGGACGGGTATATACTTACCCGCCCCGTCCCCGACCCCGTCCCCGTCCCCATCCCCGTATAATTATTTTAAAAAAAAATAACATTTCAAATATTGTTCTAGGCCACGCTGAGCAAGCAAAAACTTAGGGTTTCAATTTCAAATCTCATTCACGGGTATATTGTTCCTGTAAGCAGGTTCTGTGCAGCTGTTTTGTGAACAAGCACATGCTCCACCACTTTCACCACACCAACGCGAATCATAGCGTTGCCCTCAGTTTTAGCCTTTTATGTATTCACTCTCATAACATCACATGCCTTTTCTTTACCATTTGCTTGCTTTGTATTTCATACTCATTTCTCCACTCACTTCCTCAAATAGTGATCTCTCCGTCTGGTGTTTCTCCTACGACGCCTACTTGGATGCTCAACTCATCCCCCAACTGCGTCCTGTTTATCAACTAGCCTATATACTGAAATTTGGCGAGCCTCCACCACTCCTCCCATCAGATCAACATCACCTTCCATCTGCAACTTCATTACAGAGTTAGAATCAAAAACTGTTTTTAAAAATTATTTTTTTTACGGGTACGGGTACGGGTACGGGTATACCCGATACCCGACGGGGACGGGGATGGGACAAAATTATTATTATTTAAGCATTTGGAATGTGAAAGATGTTATTTTATTACATCTTACACCTTACACCGTAAACCCTTAAATTTAATTAGTTTTGATAAAAACATTAAACTTGTTAAAGTTTTACAATAATTTTCAAAATTACACTTAAAATTATTGGAAAAATAATTTTAAAATGTTCTCCAATTCGTATAGACGAGAATAATTTATCTTATTAATGTATAATATTTATTGTAAATTAATTAAGAATATTTTAATAATAAAAAAATTATTATAAATAAAAATTGAAAATATTATTATGAAAATAGACTAGCAAATCTAAAATAAGTGTCTAACATGAAAAGACGAAAAATGTATATAAAAAAAATATATTTTATAGATGAGAAGAAATTTTGGAACCAAAGAAATGTTTAGAGATATTAAGAGATAAGAGATAAACCACTCATGTAATTGATGACATATATGATAAGAAGAGAGAGATAAGTAAGAATTGAGATTTTCAATAAGGTCATTGATTTATTTGAGTATCTAAAAATCATCACCCTCTATAGATGCTTATTAAGGTGTCCGTACCTTAATAAGTTTCTACAAAAATCAAGATTTGAAATAATGAGTGGCGTTTGAAAATCAAAGTTGTTTAATTTGATATGTATTAGGAAATAAAATTATACTGGGAAATGATATCAATTTAGATCCTCTGTTGCAATTTTCTCTCTCTAACCTTTCTCCTGCAATATTAATAGTCATTAGATATATCTAATGACTCAAATTTAATCATTTAAGAAGTTACATTAATTATAAGATTAAATTTGGGTCATTAGATATATCTAATGGCTATTAATATTGCAGGAGAAAGGCTGGAGAGAAAATTGCAGGAGAGGATCCAAATTCAAATGATATACCTACAACATCATTTTTGGTATTTATCTTTCTATCAATCATTTATTACATTTTAAATTTCCCTATTTTTTAGTTGTAAAATTTTTTATACAATTTATTATACATTTATCATTTCTCCTTTGTATTTAGGTTTAAATATCTTTTTACATCCTAAAATTTGGGTTAATTATTTTGTCAATCAAATTTAAGAGTAAACCTTTTTTTGTCTATAATTTAAAAATAGTTCACTTTGGGTACCTTGGGAATTAGAGATGTTCATAGATCATATTGGTTTGAATTTAAGAAAAAATAAAATTCAAATTAATTAAATTTAATTTGTTCAATGTTTATAATTTCCTTGCCCCAAACTAAACCTATCCAATGTTGAATGGGATGATTCAATTCATCAGGTATGCAATGAAAAATTACATATTTGATTGTAATTGACTTACACTAATTAAATAATAGCATAAATTATAAAAAATAATATGTGAATAATTAATTAAACCATACTACTTTATCTAATGTAAGACAAATCCACCACAAACCAAAGTGTTTAACATTCACCAACTTGTCTAATAGAGGCCAAATCCATTGACATACAGCTAAGTGTCCAACTACAAATGTCACATATTTACTTTGTTAACCAATAAAAAATAATAAAAATAAAAATAAATAAATAATATTTTATTTAGATTAGTTCGAATTTCAGAAGTGTAAATCTAATACTAGAAACAATAATATTGAATTTCAATTAGTTTAGCACGGGTCTAACTCAAATCGAGAAAAATCAACCAATTTAATTAGTTCAGCTGGATTATCAGGTTTGTCAAGTTGATCTTGTGTTGTAAAAAATTTTCAAGTTCCTGACCGATGAATACCACTGTCGTCAACGACCAAATATGGGCTATTCAAGCATATATATATATATATATATATATATATATATATATATTAAAAAAGCAATGTAGATACCACTTGAAGATGATTGATTTATACCATTTCTTTACCTTTATACTGTATTGTAGGAGTATCAAATATTGACAGTTTCTAGGGCTACTCCTTATAATTTCCTTGATGGAAAGACAATTAACAAGCACATACTTTGGAAACTTCAAGCATAAGATAGGATCTTAGAGCAATTCCAATGGGAGTTGCTTGTCCCATGAAACAACTCAAGTTCCAGTTTCTTGTCATTAGAGGACTCTGACGTAGTAACATGAGTTGCTTGAAGAAGAGAGAGTTGTTTCCTCAAGCAACCGTTCCTTACCAGATTTCAAGCAGATTTTATTGAACATATTTGGGAACGTTTTGAAAATAATAATGATGAAAATTAATTTCGTATAATATTATATATTTACTATTACTTTATTTTATTTTTAATATCTACTTATTGTGTATTTTTCCTCGTAATTTATTTTCTTTCATTGTAGTGTAATTATCCTTTTTAATAAAAATTTAAATTTGGTTCATAAATGATTTGAAAAAAAAAATCTAAAAGTTGAATTTCTTAAAGTTTCTTACTATTGGAGTAAATTTGTGTTTGAGTTGCATTAGAGATGTTCATAGATCATATTGGTTTGAATTTAAGAAAAAATAAAATTCAAATTAATTAAATTTAATTTGTTCAATGTTTATAATTTCCTTGCCCCAAACTAAACCTATCCAATGTTGAATGGGATGATTCAATTCATCAGGTATGCAATGAAAAATTACATATTTGATTGTAATTGACTTACACTAATTAAATAATAGCATAAATTATAAAAAATAATATGTGAATAATTAATTAAACCATACTACTTTATCTAATGTAAGACAAATCCACCACAAACCAAAGTGTTTAACATTCACCAACTTGTCCAATAGAGGCCAAATCCATTGACATACAGCTAAGTGTCCAACTACAAATGTCACATATTTACTTTGTTAACCAATAAAAAATAATAAAAATAAAAATAAATAAATAATATTTTATTTAGATTAGTTCGAATTTCAGAAGTGTAAATCTAATACTAGAAACAATAATATTGAATTTCAATTAGTTTAGCACGGGTCTAACTCAAATCGAGAAAAATCAACCAATTTAATTAGTTCAGCTGGATTATCAGGTTTGTCAAGTTGATCTTGTGTTGTAAAAAATTTTCAAGTTCCTGACCGATGAATACCACTGTCGTCAACGACCAAATATGGGCTATTCAAGCATATATATATATATATATATATATATATATATATATATTAAAAAAGCAATGAATTCATGGATCACACCACCAATCTCAATCCAACTACATCCAGGGTCTTTTCTGATGTCCATGTCTTTCATCATCAACCTCACCTTAGCAACTGCATCCCAATCCCCAGACGAGGCATGCATGTTTGAGAGAGCCACATATGCCCCACTATCATGAGGAGCCAATTGCATTAAAACCTCAGCAGCACGCCTACCAATTTCAATATTTTTATGCATCTTACAAGAACCAAGCAAGGCCTTCCATATGACATCATCTGGTTTCATTGGCATGCTCAATATAAGCTCTTCGGCTTCTTCTAGATAACCGGCGCGACCCAGGAGGTCAACCATGCATCCATAGTGTTCTATTTTAGGCTCTAATCCAACCCTATTGACCATGTCACTAAAAAATGTTCTTCCTTCATCCACCAAACCTGCATGGCTACAGGCAGTCAAGATGGCTATGTAAGTAACATCACTAGGGGATATTCCACACTTTTCCATCCTTGACAAATAATCAAACAAATCATTGGCTTTACCATGCATGGCAAGACCACCCATAATAGCATTCCATGTTATAACATTATTTTGAGGCAGCCTCCCAAAGACCTGAATTGCCTTCTCAATGCTCCCACACTTGGCATACATATCAACCAGAGCTGAGCCGAGTACATCATCAATCCGAATCCTGTTCTTTTCTGCATACAAATGCACCCATTTTCCCAACTCAAGCGCTCCCATTCGCGAAATTGCAGGCAGCACACTGACCAAAGTAACCCGGTTAGGCAACACGTCTTTCTTCTCCATCATCCTATGAAACATCTCTATAGCCTCCATATACAACCCATTTTGTGCATAGCCAGAAATCATCACATTCCAAGAAACCACACTCCTTTGAGCCATCGTATCAAACAATTCCCTAGCAACCTTAAGGTTCCCAAGTCTTACATATCCATCAACCATCACATTGCATAGAACCACATTAAACTCTTTCCTCCTCTCATCTCTCTCCAACCTCCTCACACGATCAACACCCTCAACATTCCTATAAAAGAAAACATGAGCATCCTCCATACTCCCACACATCACATACATCCTCAGCAAATTGGTGACAACAAACTCATCATCCACCAAGCCAAACTTAACAACCAACCCATGAACTTGCTTCCCTTCTTCCAACCTGGCCGCTACCGCGCAGGCCTTCAACACAGACGGGAAAGTGAACTGGTTAGGCTCCACTGCTGCCTCAGTCACCATCTGATAGAAAAGCAACAAGGCATCGAAGTGTCTATCCTGGGTTTCAGCAAGTGCCCTTATCACAGTGTTCCAAGCAAAGCAATTTCGTTCAGGCATGTGGTCGAACACCGAGAATGCATACCCAATATCACGAAAATCAGAAGTGGCACTGAGCCTGAGGATCTCTGTAGCTATTGTGATGTCATGGGTTTGTTCTGTTTTGATAAAAAAGGCGTGGACTTGTTTCAATTCTCGCATGCTTTTGCATGTCCTGATTTGTGGGAGAACCAAATGTGGATCATAAGATGCTGTATTGGGCTGAAACATCAAAGCATTCATTTTTTGTTTAGGAAAATTCTCAGCATATTGCTGAAGTTGTGGTCAGGTCACGGTTTCAACTTTTAAGTTTCGACAAAAGAAAACCCTTTGATTGTGAAAGAGAATGGAGATAAACCTGGGAATGTTTGGTGTGATATATGGATAAGATGTGAACGAATTCTGTCGGAATAGAAGAAATTAGAAAGAGTAAGGACTTTACTCTTTTTTTTTTTTTTTTTTTTTTTTTTTTTTTTTAATTTCCATTAATTTTCCCTTAGCTTCCTTTAAAAATATTAAATATTATTATCAAAACACCGTTCTTGGCCCGCGCTAGTCGCGATATCCGTTGTAACTTGATTTTGGGCTCTTGAGGCTGCGCTGAGCGCGGCCCTTGTCGCGCTGGGCGTGAGACTCCTTGGGAGTCTCTGCCTTGTGGGCGCTAGGCGCAATTCCGAATTGCGCTGGGCGCGAGACCAAGGAGTGGTCTCTGCCTTCCCCGCGCTGAGCGCTGAGTTAGGTACGCTGGGCGCGTGAGACTCCTTGGAGTCTCTGCCTGGCCTGCGCTGGGCGCAGTTGGTATTGCGCCAAGCGTGGGAGAGCCTTGTGCTCTCTGGCTGAGTCCCGCTGAGCGCGAGCATGCTTGCGCTGGGCGCGCTGGCCCCCTGGGGCTCTCTGGTTGTACTGCGCTGGGCGCAACTACGAGGGCGCCGGGCGCGGAGATGAGACATTTCCTTTTATGTATTGAATTATGTTGCTCTATGCTGAGTTGAGTTGAAGTGGATAAATATAGGTGATAACTAGTAGATAATGTTGGTTGATTTATGATGAGTAGTAAAGTTGTGTTGTGTTGCAAGTTGATGTGTTGAGTTGTATAGTTGTGCAGTGTTGTTTACTGATTGAGTTGTTGTAGGCCTAAGGGCTGAGTTGTTGTAGGCCTAAGGGCTGAGTTGTCGTAGGCCTAAAGGGCTGAGTTGTTGTAGGCCTAAGGGCTGAGTTGTTGTAGGCCTAAAGGGCTGAGTTGTTGTAGGCCCAAAGGGCTGAGTTGTTGTAGGAGATCTCCAAGGTGATACGCGTGACTACGCATTAATATCTAATTGCTGGTTGGTTGTATAAATTGATGGATAATAGAATGTTGTTGTGTTGACGATTGAAGTTGTTCTAATTACTTGAATTTTGTTATACGTTGTTTCTTTCTATACTAGCTTACTGTTAAGTCTCAATTTTACCTCTTTTTGGATTAGACTTATTGAACAAATTCCACTCATCCTTTGAACCATTGCAATATAATTGTTCTCTTTTTGGTTCATTTTGTGTGCAGATATAACTAACCCAAATTCATCTAACAATACCTTAATCCACCTCATTTTTTGTGCAGGTATTGAAGAAGAGTGGAAAGTTGAAGACTCTTAGGATTGGAAACCTAAGAAGCTAAGGAGCAGAGAAGAGGCTCTGCGCCGGGCTCAATATAACCTGCGCTGGGCGTGACAAAAACAGAGTATTTCATCTCTGCCAGGAATTAAGCCGGGCGCAAAAGGAATTAAGCATGCTCGCGCTCAGCGGGACTCAGCCAGAGAGCACAAGGCTCTCCCACGCTTGGCGCAATACCAACTGCGCCCAGCGCAGGCCAGGCAGAGACTCCAAGGAGTCTCACGCGCCCAGCGTACCTAACTCAGCGCTCAGCGCGGGGAAGGCAGAGACCACTCCTTGGTCTCGCGCCCAGCGCAATTCGGAATTGCGCCTAGCGCCCACAAGGCAGAGACTCCCAAGGAGTCTCACGCCCAGCGCGACAAGGGCCGCGCTCAGCGCAGCCTCAAGAGCCCAAAATCAAGTTACAACGGATATCGCGCCTAGCGCGGTCCAAGTCGCGCCCAACGAGGGCCAACCAGAGGCCCACATTCTCAAGCGCGCCCAACGCACTCATCAAGGTGCTCAGCGAGCCTGGCTGAATGAGGTCCCCTGGTGGCCACGCGCCCAGCGCGATGAACAGCGCGAAGCGCGAAGCTCAGCTACAACCTTACCAAGTTCGAAAATTTCCCAAACACCTGCATTTAATGGTGTTAAGTTAAATACTCAAAATTAATCATGTAATAGGAGAATGATAGTATAATATTTCTATCTCTAAAGGACAAAAATATTATTTCTTTGACATTTTAAATATGAATGATTGATAGTGTAATACTTACATCTTCTAGGAGAGGGAAGTGTAATTTACATTAACATTAAGTTAAATGAATTAAATTGTATATTTTAACATCAAAAGAAAAGACAATGTAATATTTTTATCTTAGGGAAGAGTAGCGTAATTTAATTATAGACTAATGTTCTGTTTGTTATTATATTTGCTCATTTAAGTGGATAATATCCTATTAAGTACTTGATTTTAAGTAAATCTACACACCTAATCATTATAGGTACATATGTTTTGCTGACAGTATATATGCGTATGATATATGACTGTCATTTTTTTATAATATATTTTTTATATATATGAATGAAAAATATGCATTATAGTATGGTAATCCAACAAATAAAAGATTATTACTAACACTAAGCATAACATTTTCAATCTTCTGCTAACAATATTAGGCATTTGCCGGCAAGGAAAAAAGGTCAACAAAATTGTGAGTATATATTAAGAATAATACAATGCTATAAATAAAACAAACAATAAATTCCTTACCTTGGAGAAAAATAATTTTTGTAGATAATAGTGTCGTGCCAGTTTGAGTATAATTTGCAATAAGATACTTGATGGCCACCACCATTTGCGTAAGCTAGTTAGAAAATTGTAGGACATTGAAATGATAAAGCCTCAAGTAAAATAGATTAGCATGATCTGTCTTTGTATGCCCAGCGCGATGAACAGCGCGAAGCGCGAAGCTCAGCTACAACCTTACCAAGTTCGAAAATTTCCCAAACACCTGCAAAAGTCACTTTCCAGTACATGCAATCCAGCCAAAGTATCACATTTTCATCCGAGAGTCCAAAAACAACATCTTTTTCAACATGCAACCACAACTTCATCAAAAACCCCAAATTTATCAAAAACTCCGAAGACCCCAAAAACCCCATTTTTCAACAATTTCAACTTGAAATTCAACAATCGCCAACCAATGAATGAGTTCTAGACTCAATCACAGCCAAACATAACTAAAATAACCAGCTTCCCTTATCTAGGTATTGAGCTTTCAAGGGGCCGCGACTTTCATATTTGATGCCAAACTCGGACAACTCTACTAACCATGCTATCATTCGTCCGACGAGCTCCGGTTTTCTCAAAATCTGCCTGATTGGGTAGTCGATTTTGACGACCACCTGGTGACTCTGAAAGTAAGGTCGGAGACGCCGAGCTGCGGTGACGAGTGCTAGTGCAAGCTTTTCGATCATTTGATACCATTTTTCTGTGTCTTGAAGGACCCGGCTGATAAAGTAGATCGGCGTTTGCACTTTCTGGTGCTCTTGCACTATGAATGCGCTGATCGCACCTTCTGCCACGACCAGGTAGAGGAGGAGGTCGGCATGGTGATCCGGCCTCTGAAGGATCGGTGCAGTTGTGAGGAAGACTTTGAAGCTTTTGAAGGCCTCTTCGCATTTGTCGGTCCATTCGAAGTTCTTTGGCTTTCGCAATAGGGTGAAGATGAGCCTTGCTTTCTCCACCAACCTTGGGATGAAGAGGGAAAGGGAAACTAACCTTCTTGCTAGGCGTTGGACGTCTTTCACGGTCTGGGGGCTCTGCATCTAGATAATGGCTTTACATTTCTTCGGGTTGGCTTTAATGCCCCTACTGGTGATCATGAAACCAAGGAATTTTCCTCCTTGGACGCTGAAGACGCACTTCTCTGGGTTGAGGCACATGTTGTGTTTCCTGATTTGGTTGAACACCTCGGCCAAGTCAGCGGCATGAGCATCGGCTGATAATGTCTTGACGACCATGTCTTCCACGTATACCTCCATGTTTTTCCTAATTTGCTGCTAGAATACCTTGTTCATCAAACATTGGTAAGTGGCTTCGGCATTTTTAAGGCCGAAGGGCATCACACGATAGCATAAGTTTGCGTGGTCAGTGATGAATGCCTTATGCTCCTCGTCTGGTGGGTACATCATGATTTGGTTGTACCCAAAGTAAGCATTCAGAAAACTGAGGAGGGCGTGGCCGGAAGCACCGTCAACTAACCTGTTGATGCTCGGAAGGGGGTATGAGTCCTTGGGGCACGCCTTGTTAAGGTCAGTGTTGTCGACGCACATGCGCCACTTTTCTGAGTTCTTCTTGACTAGTACCACATTTTCCAGCCACGTGGTGTACCTGACCTCGCGGATGAAGCCCGCGTTCAGCAGCTTTTGTGTCTCAACTATGATGGCTTCGCGCCTTTCACCGCCGACCTTTCATTTTCTCTAGGAAACCGGTTTTTCCTCTTTGTGGATTGCCAACCTGTGACAGATAAAGTTAGCATCTATACCTAGCATATCGGCACTGAACCATGCAAAGAGGTCGGCGTTCTTGGAGATTTCGGCTTCAAGTTGTTGTCGTAACTCCGGGTTTAGCTGTCTGCTTATCTTTGTGCATTCTCGAGGGAATTTACTGACTTGGAGGTCATCAAGCTCGTCAATGGGACTTGGCCGTTCGTCATGGGATTTTGACCTTGGATCCAGGTCAGTGATGTCAGCCTGGGCTATGTGAGCTATGGTAGGGGGTCACTTTTGTGACGCTTCTCGGATGGCGACACCTTCAGGCTCTCAACATAGCATTGCCGAGCTATTTTCTGGTTTGCTTTGACGGAGATAATTTTAGGCAGAGACTCCAAGGAGTCTCACGCGCCCAGCGTACCTAACTCAGCGCTCAGCGCGGGGAAGGCAGAGACCACTCCTTGGTCTCGCGCCCAGCGCAATTCGGAATTGCGCCTAGCGCCCACAAGGCAGAGACTCCCAAGGAGTCTCACGCCCAGCGCGACAAGGGCCGCGCTCAGCGCAGCCTCAAGAGCCCAAAATCAAGTTACAACGGATATCGCGCCTAGCGCGGTCCAAGTCGCGCCCAACGAGGGCCAACCAGAGGCCCACATTCTCAAGCGCGCCCAACGCACTCATCAAGGTGCTCAGCGAGCCTGGCTGAATGAGGTCCCCTGGTGGCCACGCGCCCAGCGCGATGAACAGCGCGAAGCGCGAAGCTCAGCTACAACCTTACCAAGTTCGAAAATTTCCCAAACACCTGCAAAAGTCACTTTCCAGTACATGCAATCCAGCCAAAGTATCACATTTTCATCCGAGAGTCCAAAAACAACATCTTTTTCAACATGCAACCACAACTTCATCAAAAACCCCAAATTTAATTCTTGTATGAACACTATGAATATAGACACAACCGGTTAATTTATATTAAAACAATAATAAAAGAAAAAGCCAAAGGATGTAAAATCCCTCCCTCTACTATTCTATATATAAAAATCCAAAATTTACTGTAGAGGGTGTTGGGAAATGAGAATTCATAGAGACCAAACCAAAAAGGCTATTTGCTTACAAATCTACTCCTCTTTCGTGTTTTTTTTTTTAATTTTTTTATTTACAATAAAATTTTCTAATATTCCTTCTTGTCATCCATTTTTTTCCTTGTATCCCTTTAGTGATTACATTTATGTAATCTATCTCCTAATAGAGGAACTCTTCTATAATCTAAGAACCACTAGAAACAACAACCATGAACAAAGACAAAGTAAAGTGTAAGAAATCAAATTACGCAATCCTTTTTCGTGGCTTGGGAGTTACAAGGCTAAATTACTTCAACAAATCCAAATCTTTTAAAACTACATTCAAAACTAAACCCCTATACGTATATAATGTTTCAGTTCACATAAATGCATTTGTTAAATTGTTGTTAAATGATCAGAGATTCAGAATATTAAAACAACTTTTATAATAGAAATTATTGGAGAATTAAATTGACGATTTCAGTGAGAAGCGAAAATTGAAGGAGGAATTGGCGTACCTGACGGTGACGGGGAAAATCACAGGAGAACGTGAGAGAAGACGAGGCTGAGGTCTCGTTCTTCGTCACAGACACAGTCAGGTTTGGGTTTACGTGTTAGCATACGTAGTACTCTCTTTCTTTTCTTTTCATGCATGCCATGCCACTGATCCATTCCTAGGTTATAATTTAATGCTTTAAACATACCCTTATAATATACGATTTTGGTTTATGTAAAATTATTTCTTTTAAAATTTTCTACTAAAATTTTATTTTTTAATTTTGATCTTTAGTTCTTTTAATATATTAACTTTTTTATTTTACTTTATAATACTTTGCTCATTTTAAATTAACCTCTTTGAAAAATAATTAATATAGAGATTAAAAATAAATTATTAGAATATTCATCGACTAAAAACAGCTATGAGAAATAAAATAAAATAACGTGAGATAAAATAAAGGAGAAAATTTTCATTAAAACCAAAATCGAATACGCGAGAATAAAAATATATTTAAATTTAATTTAATTAAGTTCTAACTTTTTTTAATAAAGAGGTATAATTTCTTTCTACTGAAAAGTGATATCTCATATAACATCCATTTTTCATAAAATAAATAATATAATTAAATTTTAAAAATAATTACAAGAGTTTTATTAGTATAAGGGGAGCTTGAAAATAATAATTATAAGGTATGTTTTATAATTGGTTGTATTTATTTAATTAAGAAAAAAAATAAACTTTTCACTTTGAGTAAGTCTCTTTAAGTCTCTTTAACTCCAGAGTTTTGTGGTTTGGTTAGGAGGTTTTTATCGAGGAGTTACACTTTTGCTCTAAACGTAAAAAATTGACAGAGGGGGTCTCAAGTCTGATGGAGGAAACCACCAACCACCTTGAAGGCCCCTTACTAATGTCGGACTTCTATCGAGATAAAGAGGAAGTGAGATATCTTGCTAATAGGTGTGGAATAATCATGAGCAGTAGAATTGACCTTCACTCTCATTTGTTTGCTTCATTGTGAACGAGACCATGAAAGTTCCCTAGATTATTATGTTTCAAGAGGTAATTATTTGTTTGAATTCAAATGTTGATACTTGATGCAACACTCTGTTTTTCATAAAATGTAATATAAGTGTTTTATTAATAATTTTAGCATTTTTTATTATTAATAAGAGTTATTTAATATTTATTTAATTATTTTATATATTTTGAAATATAATAAAGTATTTTATTAAAGGTTTTATTTAATTAATTAAGAGGGAAGAGAATTAGTAACTAATGTTAAATATTTTAACTAGAGGAGGGTTAAGGGAAGGTTAAATTTTAAAAGGTGGGTTTCTAATTAGCTTTTATGTTTTCTTATTTTCACATATGGGCTTATGCTCCAGAGCTCAAAGAACTTGAAAGAAAAGGAAACCACCTCAAAGTTGGAAGACCATCATCTAGTGCTTATTAAGGAAAGAAAGAGTGGGAAACCTTGCAATGAGTGCGTGATTCTATGTTAGGCAGTAGGATTGACCCCAATCCTATTTACGTTGTATGCCTATGTATGAGAAAATTTTCCCAAATTAATGCATTTGCTTTGTGTATTGTTCTTCTTACACGTTGCTAATACATGAATTGTTTGAATGTATGATCAAATGTATATTGTATGATTTGAGGTTCCTATGCGAAACCCTAAAGAAACTTGTTGTGATAGTTTTTGAAGATATTGATTGATATGCAGAGATGACAAAATGGATTTAGACCTTATGGGCACCTACAAAAATACCATTATGCGGGACGAGTATAGGGATGGATAAAGGACAAATATAGACTCGAAAAATTTAATGGCTGCAAGTGCAAGTACGGTTACTATGGTACCCAACCTACCTCTCTCTATAGTTATATATATATATATACATATATATATATATAATTACTTAATAATTAATTATTTATTTATATATATATAAATATTAATTAATATAATTATATTACTATTATTTTAGATTTAAGATACAAGTTGAAGTTGTTGGAGTACATTTTCACTGCACCAAAAAAAAGGAATAACTTCACAAATTTTGCGGCAGTTTTAAAGAACCACCCTCGTTTTTTTATTTAGTCCAACACTATAACGGTTTTAACCAACAGACGCAATTTTCACGTTTTCTCCGGCAGTTAATATAGAACCGCCGCCGGTAAGTTAAAATTTTGATGTTTAGTGAAATGTTCCCTCCCCTCTCATCAGAAATCTAAACCTAAGAAACTTACTCCCTTTCTCTCCTCGCTCCATTCTTCTTCTTCTCCCTCGCAAAGTCACGCCTCTACCCTGCTGCTCCAAACGTTGCTCACGACCACCGGTTCACGGGCTCACAACCTCTGCTTTCCTCTACCTCGTTTGGTGAGTTACAAACTTGCCCACTACTTCTCAATTTTTTGATCAATTATAGTGGCATTTGTGTCATGCTTGACTTGTAATTGGAACGCACCCGAGGGGAGGGAAAACGAAAAGCTTACATTGTAGGAATTCCTATACCTGCTTTCCCTATTTAACCAAGCAGGCATACTCTTCTCCTGATTTTAGATTATCAATTTTTATTCCTTTTCAATTAGTCTTATTGTTATTCAACAATTTTTAAAGAGAGTGGTGTCAGATAAATATTTATGCATTGTGTTGATGTTGAGCTCCTTTATAGATGTATACTATATAATCTATATCAGTGATTAAGAGTTTGTTTGCTTACACTTTTTTTTTCTCATGAAAGCGTTTCTTTTTAATAAAATAAGCACTTTTTTAAATGTATTTTTCTATATATATTTTTTTAAATAAGTAGTAAGCAACTCCTATCTTCTTCTTAAAGAATTGCTTTGTTTTATTCTTAAACATTTTTAGAAACACATATTTTTAAATTTAAACAAACAAACACTAAATGTTGTTCTTATTCTATTACATTATGATGGTCCGCATTTGCAACTTTTTGTACGATATTCTCATTTTCTCTTTTTGATGCACTCTAATAGCTGGGATCATGGTTGATGGTTGAGACATATTACTATACAGAAAAACCAATATTTGGTTATATAATTTTGTTACATGCAATTTACATTTTAACATTAGGTACCAAAAAGCATAGGTAGAGTAATAAAACTATTAGATGAGAATTTCTCCACCATGCGGTTATGGCATGTGGCATGTGGTCAACTACTCTCAACTATTTATGCATTGTATTTTGTTGAAGTCCTTCCTGGATGTATACCACTTTATTATAATCTATAGAAAGTTTGGTTAATTGTTGTCTTCTTCTATTGTTTTATGAGTAAGATTTGCATTTGCAACTTTTTATAAGATGTTTCATTTTCTCTTTTTGATGCATCCGTGATGGTCTAATCAGGCTTAATAATTGCGACTTGCAAGGCATATTACAGAACATATGGACTAATATTTAATTACGTAGTTTTTATCATCACTTGCAGGTTAAATTTGAACATGTGCAAAAAATCATAGATAGTTTGTTGGTGATTTAATGACATTTAGTTACAAATATGCATCCTCTTAGTTAAAAATTATGGAAAACTGATTTTTTATTTTTCAATAATTTAGAAGATGATGTGTTCGGTCTTGGCAATTATTTTTTTTGTTTGCTCTATATAGTTATTTAGAACCTTGTTACAAGGTTCTTATGAAATTGATACTTTGAGAAAAAGTACTTCATTTCAAATCTAAATTAGGAGCCCTATAGAGTGATTGATTATTTGATTTTGTGTACAACAGTTGTTGAAATATTACCTTACATTTCAGAGTCTCTTATTAATATCTATTCTGTTACTCAACTGTTCAATGGACAATTGCATGTTTTTTGGTGAGTTAGACTTCATAGTTCTTAGAAATAGGGCAGCTTGATTAGTTTCTTTTGAGGTATTTATATGTGGAATATTTGGAATTCAATTTGCAATTAGAATGGATTTGGCTGGCTCTGATCTTAATAGTGACAGCCATAAAATATGCTGAAAAATGCATATAAGACGGAGTATCATTGACTAAAAAATGGCCAGCTACATTTTGTTTCGTACTGTTGCTGGTCCAGAATGCATAGAAATTTGTTGTTTATGGCTGTAGAAAAAGATCACAGAGCAAAGTAGAACAAAAATTATTTTTTTGATTGGATTGTGTCTTGTTGATTGTGAAAATCAACCACTATAATCTCAAGGTGTTTTGGAAGTATTTAAATCTAAAAGCTAAAGATATTAGCACTTATTTGTGGCTTTCAATGACTTTTTCTTGTTTGATGTGATGCCAAAGACATTGCCCACTACAAATCTATCTTGTTTTGGCTTCATGTGGATGGAGATTGTTCTAAAAAAACAATTAGGAAACCTGGTATTGGGAGATTTCCAGCAACAAAGTTTAGCTTGGTTTTTGGTTGATATATAAAAGCTCAAAGTTTCCAGCAACAGTTAGAAAAACTTTTTCTCCCTACTTAACTATTGTTTCTTGCTAGCTAGCCAATTCTCATGTATGTGAGGGACACTCGATGTAGGTTATTTCAAAAAAATTATAGTTGGGAGATTTCTGTGGAAGAAAACTGTCAGATGCACCCACCAGAGATTGACTTTTAAGTTTGGTAAACAAATGGTAATATGTTTTTATATTTCATTGGTTATAAGTTTGGTTACATATGTTGACTTTTAATTTTGTTAAATGTAGGACATATCTGATAAAAATGCAGCAAACCGTGAAAAGTTATTGATCCCACATACTCTAGGATCAAAGACATTAGCAAGAAAAAAGGGATGAGTTGGTATGTAAAGTTCATTTAGTATATTTTGTTTAAAGAAACTAAAAATAAAATTGTTTGTATAATTACTTTTGGTATGGTGCAAAATGTTAGGAAGTGCAATATGGACGACATTATAATAGAGGAGATATGTATCCTATTGCTCATAAAAAGAAGGATGGATCATTTGTGAGCGAAAATGCTACACAAAAATATGTGAGTACAATATATTATTTGTAATTTTCAATTACAATTTGCTATTCACTTATATAAGTAATATCTTTTACTATTTATCTATGTATTCAACATTATATGTAGGAACAATTGCATAATGAAATTCAGGAGTCTTCTTCTGAGAATGAGGCATTCTTGAAAGTATTTGGAAAGGAGCATCCCGGATATGTCTGAGGCATGGGACTTGGGGTTACTCCGACTCAAATCATTGGATCATATTCTTCCTCTACGAGGTCTGGATCTTCATCAGATGCGGCCACGATAGCACAATTGCGATCTGAAGTTGAAGCGCTTAAGGCACGAGTTGGTGAAGTTGATGTTTTGAAGAATTAGCTTTCCTTATGCAAATTGTTAAAGGAAATCAGGTATAAAATGAAGCCTTTAAAAAATTGTAAATTTTATTGTCCAAGTAAAAGTTCAAATCTAATTTGTGATTATTTTAATTTCAGGCAGCTGAATTGGAATCTCCAGCAAATTTGAGACGTTCTTCTAAGTCTAGCCATGTTCCTGAAGACAATGGAGGATCATCATGAGGGAATATTTAGAGATTTGCTTCATTTTTAGTTTGTTGGGAGCTTTTAGGACCATCTTTATATTTTCGTTGTTTTTATGTACCTAAGTTTCGTAAACTTAAAGACCATTTTTATGTTTGAGATGCAAATCTATTATGTATTAAATTTCGATTTAATATCTTTAGTTAATGAACGAAATTTTTATTTGCATTATTTGTATTAATTTATCTTTATCACATATGTTTGAGATGAGAATTTAAACAAATAGGTTGAAAAATGTAATTATAAAATCATGCAATTAAACGTGAACTAAATTACGACGGTTGCAAACTAGTGCAAAATTTTTATACAAAAATTTATGTTTACATTTGAGGCGGTTTAAAACCGCCGCTAATTTCTAAGTAGTTTCAGTTTCCAAAATAGCGACAGTTTTATAACCGCCGCAATTATAAAATGTGTTGTGGCTGTTTGTGTGGCTGTTTAAAAAACTGCTGCGAAATGTAGTCTTGACGCACAAGATTGCGGTGGTTCGTAAACTGTCACAATCTAAATTTGTGGCAGTCAAAACCGCCGTCGCTCTTACTAAAAAATCGCCGCAAAAAAACTACTTTCTTGTAGTGTTTTCCCAAACTTTGTGGTAGTCCATCTTTAATTGGAATTAATAATATCAAGAAATTATGTTACTCGTTATTTGAAAAGTATCAGACTAAAGCTAAGAGAATAGTGAAAATTTTAACTTCACAAGTAAATGTCAATGAGTCAAACTTGGATAATCTAAATATTAACAATTTTCTTAGTGATTATGACTCATTTGTGAATGATGCAATTGAAACACTAACAAATTCTGAAATAGAGCTCTACTTAAAAGAAAAAGTTTTGCCAAGGAGTGCTACTTTTAGTATTCTTGGATGGTGGAAAACAAATGGGATCAAGTATCCAATTTTGCAAAAAAATTACTAAGGATGTTTCAACAATCCCAATTTTAATCGTAGCTTCAAAATATGCATTTAGCATATGAGGTAGATTTTTGAGTCTTCATCGTTCTAGGCTCCATGAATTTACTTTAAAGGCACTTATATGTGCACAAAGTTGGTTGAAACATAAACAAGGTAATAAATAATTAAACTTTATTTATTTAATAAAACTTGTTTTATTTTTTATTGTTGATTTTAATTATTCATTTAAATTGTCTAACAATTCATTTTCTTGTCATGTAGTTTCTATTGGTCTTATTGGACTAAAACAATATATAGATTTGGAAGACAAACATTTGAAAAAATATGGAGAAGTTGATTCCGATGATGGGGTCAAATGTCTACATATTTGTCTTTTGAAATTTATAGTATATGATTTAATATATAATTTTAATCGAACTAATTTTTATAAAATTTTTTTAACAGGTCTTGAAAAATATTGTTAACACATGATCCTGATGCTGGAAGTTTAATTATAATTTTTATTATGTTAATTTTTTAAAAGTTTACTTACAAGAATTGGATGTTCTAAAATTTTTATGTATAAGCATTGTTAATAGATTTTTGTAATGTTAAAGAAATGAAAAATTAATATTATGTTTGCTTGTGTGAAATGTTATCTCTTTATTGATTTATTTACTTTATACATAAGTAAAACGCAGGTTGTGGGTGTGGGTAGGGGTACACAGGTACCCAGTAGATATAAGGATGAGGATTAAAATTTCTACCCGCATGACTATGGGATGGATATGGGTATTGTTTTTAAACATGGGTATAGGGTAGGTACTATAGGACCCTACCCAAAACCTACGCATTGCCATCCTTATCCATATGTGTAAATTGAGTGATTTAGAATAATAATTGCATGTATAGAACACTTTTACTAGTTATATATGTGTTATGTGTATAATTGGACGTGGATAACTTGTTATCAGTGAGAAGACGTGATTTCCAAGGAGAAAGATTGTGTTCTCGCTTAGTGAAATGTTTTGGGTCGTTTCGCGAGAAGCCCAGAGGGCTCAGCTTGCTTAACTAGATGTTGGTCACTCAACAAGAAGCCTTAGGAGGCTCAGCTCGTTCAACTAGATGTTGGTGGCTCAGCTAGATATTAGTCGCACAACGAGAGGCTCTAAGGAGTTCAACTCACTCAATGAGGTAACATTCATTCAACAACTGTTAGTTGGATGTTTTACCCTCATGATCTTGATACTACCTTTTTACTAATGACTAGGTGATCTATTTGAGAATGTACATGAGATATATAATGTGATATGAGGAATATGCATCGAGTATGTTTGACATGCATCATTCACATAAAAATTTGTAATACACCACTAGGGAAGGTACCCTTGTGTAAAAGCTCAGGGATAGCTCGATTTGGAAGTCTTAGTCCTACCCTCGTGTGCATGGGATATATCTTGTGTGGCTTAGCTATCCCGACCAAACCCTGATAGTATGTTATCCTAGTGAGAGTGAGTAAAGGGTGTCACATGAAATGTACTCCCAAACTACTCTATGTGTGTTGCTAGTGACAATACATAATGTGATGTTTTTACTGGCACCATATGCATGATTCTATATAATTCGTGTCCATTACATGTGCATTGAAATGTTATGTGTTAATTAATTATTATGTACATATGTATGCTTGTTTATGTTTTTCTATTTGGTGTGCATTCCTACACCATGAGCTAGAGTGAAATATTTCTCACTCTTTTTCTTTTGTGTTGTTTTCCTTTGGTCATTATGTAGGCGATCATTAGCATGAGGCTGAAGATGTTTGTGATGAGACTTAAGCTTTAGTGTTGGATTTTGCTATAATAGAATATGTGACATTGAGGCGTAGTTAAGACTAGTTTAGGACATTGTTTCTGTTGCTTCATTTGAAAAACATCAATTTTTAGTTTCCTTGTAATTCTTTCAGTTGCATTATGTTATTTGTTTAAGATACAATGTGATCCTCTCTACTTGTATGGATTTTGCTTTCATTTATTATATCGAGATTATAGAGTTTTAGATTATTTATGTTATGGCATATGGGGTAGAGTGTGTCACACTTGATGTCAATTGAAATTCCTTTAGAACCCTTAAGGTAGTGTGAGAACCCTAATTATATAGAGCAGAAGTAAAGGTTCAATAATATGGTTTTTAATTGAGTAATTAATGATGCAAAATATTATAATTAGATTTTAATTATCAAAATGACTAATTAGATTGATGAAAAATGAAAAAAAAAAACATGAGGAGGCGATGTTTGAAATTTCTACAAATGGCACGAAACTACTATCACACCTAGCATGGTGATAATAGCATTAAGCACTAAAGTCCTTAAGAGTGGTGACACTTGATGGACTCCTTCTCTCCATGTTGTAATCAATAGCTTCCAAGGAGGAAGGTTCCTCTTCTCCACAAAATAAAAGGAAGACAAGGGGCTGGATGTTTCTCCAAGGGTGAAGGAAAAAAAGGTTGATAGACCATGGGCCAAGGGCCCAGTGCCAGAGCTATGGCTAGGAGGATACAGGAAGAGCTGGATCTCTACTTTTCAAGTATGAGAACATGTATTTTAATAAGAGTTAATTATTTATACATTATGTTCTTACCAGAATTTGGTCGTAGGGGTGGACCGTCCAGTAAGATCGATGAGCTAAAATAATACGACAATCAAGAAGAAATTCATAAATTTCTCATTAGAGGTTCTCAAGGAATAATTACCTCACAATCTTAGAGTGAGAGAATTAGTCACACATATTGCTAGAACCCATTAAACAAAAGAAAAGAATTAACTGTGATAGGAAGAATACTTCTCTGAAGGTGTGACTTTTAGACCCTTATAAAACCTCAATAACAAATAAAAGAAAGAAGAAATTATAAGAAAAATTATAACTAAGCATAAGAGAAAATTAGATACAGACTAGATGATCTCAATGTAGTTTAGACGTTCCGAATTATATTGAAAACTAGGGCAAACTTTTAAAGCACGGTGTGCATCTAAACAAGCACAATCATGCTTAGTTTCCAATTGCTATATATGGAAAGCTATGAATTAATTTTATTTAAATACTGGGATGTGGCGATTGAAAATATTAGTCATTATATGGAAAAATAAAACTATGGATTAGAGACTAAAATATACTAGTTGCTATATGATGTAGAAAATATAAATATTGGTGTCTAATTTAATCGCTATATTTTTTAGAGGTTTAAATTTCAAAATTAATTAACTAGTGACGCATTTAGAAACCAAATTTATGTGACCACATTTATCCATCACTTATTCAATCGCTATTTAATTTTATGCATGGAAATTTTGCTCTCTGTCACTAATAGAGATAGAAAATTTCCAGTCACTAATTTTGGTCATTATTTTGACTTTTTCTTGTAGTGAATTAAACAAAAACATGATCATGCTTAAGCATGACCAAGACATGCTTGGCATTCTAAAGGAAGCACAACCACGAATATTGGTAAGCACGACCATACATGATTCAAGTACGGTTGTGCATGTCTTCAACCTTCATAATTCTTCTATTTTATCCCTTAATTACATTAAATTCATTTTTTTTATATTTTCTTTGTTTGTTGCACACTTGATAAAAGAAATGAAATATTGTCAAAAACTTAACATTAAATTAATGTAAAATAATAATAAATATTAGGTTCTTATGTAACATTTTGACGATTTAACACTGGAATCAATTGCGTCACAAGTGATCTTGCAATCGATTCCAACACCACCTACTAGCACTACGTGTCCATTTTTTAGCCACTTTTACAAAAAAAAAATAAAAATATTTGACATGGCATGGGTGTTGTTGGGTTGACTATTAACACCCAAGATTAATTGACCCAAAAAATGTAAATGGTTTCAAAACAATTTTAATTACATAATTTGTTTCCATAATAACCTTACATGAGTCAAACAGTCTGACCCAATAAGTAAAATAAAAATTATACATGATGACTAGGATAATTACTTATATAATAGGTACAAAATTATAAGTACAAGTAACCCACAAAATTTAATTGGTGCAAGTACCTTAGTATCCAACCTTATCGATAATAATAATTATTATAACTAATAAATTTATGAACTTTTACCTTTAATCCATAATATTTTATAATAACAATAATAATAATATTAAATAATATTTTAATTTAACTACTTTTTATTTTTAATTAATACTTTTAACTTTAAAGTT